TCATTATGTTTTTGAATAATTTTCTTAAGCTTTCACGATTTAATGGAACGGTATGTAGTTTGTTTTTAAGTAATTTCTGATTCCATCTTCAGAGTGTACATTTACATGGTTTCAATGTTTTGAACTTTATAATTGCCTACATTTTCAACCTTTAAACTATTATTAGTACAGTGTCTTACCTATCGCTTAAAATATTGTAAAACATTGGTTAAAAAATTTATAATTTACACACTATCACTATATTGGTATTTTTTTTATATAAATCCACGATATTTGGAAAATTTTTTATTTTGGAATATAGTTAAAACTAAAAATATTTTTGTTATAATTTAATAAAAATTAAGATATTCCAATCCGATAAACAAGTAGTAGAATATTGGATTAAATAATTACAAAAAAATCGTATTTTGTACCTATAATATATATTATTATTATTATTATTAAGACTTCAGACCATTATAGCAATAAAAAAAAAAGGAAAAAATATGTTGATAGATCGAGAAAACTGTAAAATAAAATCAACTTAACTGAATGAAGTTAAGATAAATATTACAACGGTGACTTAATAACAATAATTAACTCGATTTCCGATGATTACGCAACACGTAGTTTCCCAAGTACTCGGGGCTCGAAACTATGTGTTGTCACGGAAGCGTAAAATCTATAAGTTTGTTATCATTATAATTGAAAATTACAGGATCGATTTGAACAGCGACAAGTGGGAAGAGAGGAGAAGAGGTGGAGACATATATAAAAGCAAAGGAGATGCGTGAGAGGTGAGGTCAAAAGAGCTATGCGTGGGTACAATAGTGATGTGAGAGAGAAGCAAAATAAGGGGAAAAAATGGGTATGATGTAGTTAGAGTGAACGGGTTAATCCTTTGACGAGCCCTTATTCAATGATTTTCTTGGTCCACCCCTTAGTGATTTGAACGCCGTGACCAAAATGGTTGCGTATATTTATAATAATTTACAGCGATGTCACTTCCCAACAGTGACGGCAGCGGTAGTGATAGTGATGGTGATTGCTTGGTATGAGGTTTATCAAAAACGACTAGAGCCCTAATACTCTAATCTCCGGTCTTTGATGTTGGTTGATGATGCCACGTAATTGACCGAAGTACAGTTCTCCTACCAAAAGAAATCCGTATATGCTCATTTATATTATTATATTAATAATATACCATAATGTTTAGTAATAAAAATGTTGTTATTATTTTAATCCGTACATCGTAATGGTTTCGCGCATTTAATTTATTTAGTTGTTTAGTTGGTTTGGACCATAAAGGCTTGAAATTGGGTAAGCTACAATACAGCCCAAGTTCGTAGTAAAATTTTTACAATTTACATCAAATATATTTTTAATCAAATAAATGTTTTATGATTTTTTTCCAACGATGACACAGAAATTACGAATCGTCATAGTGATCAAAAATAATATGAATGAAGACTTTTTTTTTAGTTGTTTATTTAATAAAATGTTAATTTTGTACTTCAAATAGCTTATTTTTATATTTTTATATATTTTAATGTTGGAAAATTGTTTTTTCAGCATCTGTATAACATCTAAAAAATAATTTTTTGTAAGAATTACAATATTTCTGTAGTAATAAGTCGTAACTTCCATTTAAAAAAACTAGTTTTATTTTATACAGAATAATATTAAAAATCTTTAAATCTTACTAAGTCTTCAGTTGGTTACTTAATAGTTCAATCGATAAATATTTTTGTTTCCTCAGCTATAACTATGTACTACGTATATCATCGATGAAAATATAGTCCGTAGTTCACCCGTTGTTTTCAAAAAAAAAAATGCCGAACGCAAAGCAGTTTTCGATTACGTGGAATATTATACCTGTTACCAAGTATACCATGGCGTAATTTTAATTTTTGGTTATGTTTTAAACGCATTTACCTACATCAGCCGAACAATGCATTCCCGTTGCGCGCATGCCATTTATTTCCTGATAGTAAAAAAAGACCGTTTCGTCCTTTTGGTCTTATTTATTCACTTAAAAATGAGCACATACCCGCAGTGCGTGGTTTGATACTATAGTTTAAACTATATTTATGGCGCAGCAGCGATAAAAAAAATTCTAAAACATCTCAGTCGCATCATGGCACCGCAGCCTATACATTTTATTCCAACAGTTGGGTATATGAACGTAAAAAGTGCATTATAAATTATGTATACAAAGAGATAATTCTACACCCATTTTATTTTTTTTTTTACGATTTCTTTTCAAAAATTTAAGTATTTATATAATATTTCATTGAGATTAGATAAATCTTATAACCGAGTCGTTCTTTCGACATTTAATGTGAACTAGAGCTTCCTTAGATGCTGCTTTATTAGTTCATGGTTTTCCGCACGTGAAATTAATTACTTAATTGAATATTTACTCATTAAAAATATAACCATTATTTTTGATCTGTAAAAATGAAGTTGATATTAGTAAATGTAAACTCGGTTTGTCTCTTAAGCTATTATAGTTCTAACCCTTTTGTACTTGCCCAAGGTAATCGTAATTACAGCCAGATTTTCCTTTCCATAAAACTCAAATTATATTTAATTTATTACTATAAACTAGGGATCTTCAACCCGTGGTCCACCCTGTCATAATATGTGGCCCACGATCACATATTAAATGTTTTCACATTATAAATAAAATAAAAAAATTGTAATTAAAAAAAAAATGTTTATCTATTTATGTCTTAATAATAATAATAATAATTTGTAATTTTAAATGTACCCAATTAATTTTAAAAAATTGTAAGAATAAAACTGAATTTTTATATAAAATACATGTTTTTACTACGAATGCAGCCCCGCAAGGTTTATAAAAAATAATATGTGGCCCGCTGCATAAAAAGGTTGAAGACCCCTGCTATAAACCATACAATTTCAAAAATTATTTCCCTTTCAATTACGAAACAGTGTAAATGGTTTATTAGTATACGAACAGATTTTCTCAAAAACAAAAAAATAATTTCTTTATCTATCTTTAGATGTATTATATCAGGTTGTCTTGTATAATATTTTGTTTGTTTAAAATTATGTGGGTTCTCATTCAAAAATAAATTGAAATTTTTTATTTCAAGTGTGAACGATGAACAGGTTATTTTAATCGAGTGATACACAAAAACTAAAATGTTAAAAATATTTTTTTTTTAAATAACACGATACTTTTATTTAACAGTTACTTTTCTTTGTGCTATGTGTAGGGATTATCTATACAAAGCGTTTATTAAATTATTATAATTATTTTTATTATTATTGTATCAATAACCATTCGTTGGTTGGAATTAAGAGGAAAGAAAGTTTAGAAAGGGCTCTTCCAGTGCATTTTAAACGAGAAAATATGTAAAAATTTGGGCTTGTAGTGTACTTAAATAAATTAAATAGTTTTAAACTTTTCTCACACAATGTAAACCAGCATTTTTGAGAATTTTTTAGTTTTATTTTATTCATGTTTGTGCTTTAGTGGACATCATTCTGAAATGTTGCACTATTTCTTCTTTGCCAAATCAAGATGAAGATAAAAGTATGCTAAAAATGGGAGAGAAAAAAGACGTAAAAATTAAATAAATAAATAAAAGATTCGTGCATTAGCGGCTTCGGCAAACTACATAAAACTCAACCTCACCTGAGATAACAAAACCTTTTAGTTTCTACGTTGCTCCACTTGGGTACGTTCTTTTTTTTTTTCTCTCTCCTTTTTATCTTTTGGCCCATTATATCTCGTATATAGAAATTGAATGGGCGCGGAATTTATTCACAGGTTTTAAACATCGATTCGTTTCGCGCGTCGCGTGAAAACGTCAATGCGCCTGCCCACGCATATTCTTCATTCCTTTTCGTATGTCTTTATTCAATTTTCCATATTTATTAAGTATATATATTCATAATACATGAGCCAAAGTGAGATTATTGTAGTGTGTGAGCATGTCGACGAACACTATATAATGATGTATTTACGTTGATCGCGTACTGTAATTATGTGTCGTCGGTTCTGTAGATATGATCACATCGTTGAAAAGCTTTCATTCAAAATATCTCTTCTCGTCTGCTTCTTTTAATTTATTATATAATACCATCAAACCTTAAATTATTAATGAAATATAATATAGGCCCACTACGTTATAAGCGCACATAAGTTTCTATCATGAATAATTACTAATGATTTCAGATTATTCTACGTTTGATATAATGAATAAAAATAAAATAAAAATCAACCCTTGCATCATATGCATTGTATATCTCCTGTCATTCTTATTTAATACTCGTATGTTACAATAACAAGGCTTGGTCTATAGAAGCTGATGATGATGATGTTACAAAAAGTCATTATATTATGAATGTTTTATTATCTTTCTAAACATATTTCTTTTGATGAATGTAGACATTTTTTTTAACACAGCATAAGTATACAGACTGCATGGAAATGTTCATTTTTACCACCAAGATCTGTTTTTTTTTTTTTTTTGTAAATAGAGAGAAAAATAATGTCAGATCTCGTAATTAATGGTGTACAACAGTAAACTTGTGATAAAATAAGTATTAAAAATTCCACTATGGAACATAGTTAAATAAACATTTCTGCTTACACGTATTCAAGAATTTCTTATATTTGTAAAAATATACTATTTTTATTTGCATTGAATATTGTAATTATTTTGTAAATTATTTAAATTTATCTATTGAATGAATGAAAGTCTTACATTCTTATATTTTAATAAAAATCAAACCTTTACGAATCATTTATTTTTCAAAAATTATTAAAAATAAATGATTTTCTAATATTAACAAGTTGGCCCCTTATCTTTAAGACTTGAATAAAAGTATAAATATTAAGAAAATTATTTTGTATTATGTATGATGCCATTAAATTATGTAAATTATCGTTAGTTATTGTTTTTATTCCAATCAATAAATAATTAAGTAAATTTTTTGAGAATGTCACTGTTTGATTTTAATTTTTAAATTTTGTTTGATTTCAGAAGCACTCAATTTTGATGAAAGACTTAATCGCTAACAATAAACTAAAAAACGGTAAGAACGTAAAGAAGAATTATTCATATCAAATACCTATTTGAACTAAAATGTAATTATCGGAACAAATGTCGTTACTGGATTATTTTTACAAAACTTCAATGCGAATATTATAAAATCACTGCTATGTCGGTTGAAATCTAATAGTAAATTATCCTTGTGTGTACTTTTTTTAAATATATATATATTTATATAAGGCATTCTTAATCAAGTAGGCTTTCTACATCGAATAATAATATATACGATTTATTTTTTTTTCCATTTTTTAACAGGATGAACATTTACTCTTTCTAATCTATTTAAATGTATAGTATATTGTTTAGGAATATCTACACTTACAAAAATATTTGTAAAGATTTATAAATTTTAATGTAATGTTGTATGACACTGCGGTAGGTAGGAGTGCAGTTCAATTTAGAATGTCGTGAAGACGGCTCCTTTTTAATTGACATTATGTCGGGCATACGTGTAGATTATAATGGAATAAATCTATTGAGTTGAGAACTGAGAAATATGGACATTTATGGCTAAAGTTTTTATGGAGTCTTCTATCTTTAATATGGAAGTTTTAGTGTAGATATACGTTTCTTATGAACTAGGGAGCATTTGCTATTACTCTTAGAACTTTATTCTGGACTATTTATATTTTTTTTTCATGTAAAAAGGTGTGCATTTTTCCCACACCGGGCAGGCATAAGTGATTTTTGAGAGTAAGGTTTGGTTGTATATTGAGAGTGAACATTTCTTATGTAATGTAGATTTTTTGTTTAAAATAGGATACAACATTGAAAGGCGTTGATACGTTGGTTGAAGTTTTGTTGTTAAACGAGGCCGCTGTGTGAGCCTTTTATCCGAAGTAACACCGAGGTATTTAACTTACGGTTGTCAATATACTCACCATCAAATTTTAAATTAATAGATGCCTGGTATCACCGTAGATTGAATATAACTCCAATGTTTTAAAGATGTTGATTTGGATCTTCCAGTTTTCACATCAGTTTTAAGGGGCCGTTTTCGGTTCAATGTTTTGAGATTTACTATAAATTCTTATGTCGTTTACAAAAAAAAGAATATTTTCGTACGAGGTGTTTGAGAAATTTCAGATACTTAATTTTTAAATATTAAGGGACCAAGTTTGAAACCTTGAGGTAATCCAGCAGAGACGTGCTTAGATCGGATAAATTTGCATTTATTTTAACTGTGAATTTTCTATTTGATAGATTTGAACTGATAATATTGAATAGGTGTATTGACGTACATAATACTGATAATTTGTACCACATCTTGTCGAATGCCTTTAATATATCTATAAAAATGGCTACAGTGTTTTTTCGAACGAAGAATGTATATGTTCTATTATCCGAAAAAGTTGAAGTACAGTCAAGTAGTTTGACCTAAAACATTATTGGAATTTGAGAATGGAGTCTGTATTGTTTATATACTCTTGTTATTTTGAGTGACTTTTTGAATATTTTTGATGGTAAAATAAATAAACTGAGAGACCTAAAGCTATCAGGGTTTGTTCTTATATAACCGAGTTTTTTTTTTTCTATTATGATTGTAGCTATTTTCCATTTATTTGGAAAATTACCAAATCGTAATAGAGAGTTAAATAATGAAGTAAAAAAAAAAAACCCGTGCTTTTTTTCGGTTGTTATATGAACATATGATTAGTTATTTTCTCATGATCTGTGCTTTTTTTTTATAGATTTTTATTTTTTTAATTTTATTTCGTAAGGATATAGGTGGTTTTTAGGTATTTTAACTGAATAATCAAATTGTTCTAGAATTATTTTTATTCTTAGGTCACTGTTAAATACGATTTTCCGGTCGGTTTGTTACCGGTTGAAATCAGTGTTAGACTGGATTATGACGTGAGAAATAGATAGGTGCCTTAATGAGTCTCTTTTCAACATATGCATGGTTAGCATACGCTCCGTTGCGTATTCGGAGCGTAGTGTTGCGCGTAATTTATAAGACGCGCGCAATACTCAAACTTGGCCCGAACAATCACTGTTATATTAGTGTTAATATGCAGTGTTGGGTAAATTTATGTATAAAAGTTTTATACACCATAATGTATTATACATATATAATATACTTTTTTATACATGTATAAAACGTATAAATTGTTATTTCAAATTTTTTTTCATAAAATATTTAAACTATTATTAAATATTTTTTATGCCTATCTAGAGTATAAATAATAATTTTATTAGTATTTTTACTGTAATTTGGATAAATTCTTAGAATTTTAATTACCTAATTTTGTATTGTTTATGTAGATAATTAATAGATTTTTACTTTGAAATGTAGGTTTCATTTCATAAGTAATTCTTATTACTTATTAGTAATAGAAAATTTGTATTTAGTATTTACTATTTACAAATAAATTCGAGCCCTAGTTATTACCTATTACCAAGTAAGTAGGTAATTTAGCATGCATATTGATATTGAATATAATAGTGAATACAATTAAATAATAAATAGTATAATTTATTATGATTTAATCTTTCTTGATTATTTTGTTATCTTTTCAATAACGAATATAGAATATTATATATAAGTACGTGCTATACATAAAAAAAACAGTTCAATTTATAGTATTTGGATCTTGCTTTTAATTTGTATTCCTTTTAAAATTAAAAATATTCAATTAGAACTTAGAACTTAGAAGTGAACAATAAAAATTAAAATTAAAATTATTTAACTAACTAGTTATTCAATTAAGAAAAAAAAATCAGTAATTGCATATTAAGTGTTAACAGAGTAAAAAGTAAAAACTTAGTCACTTGTCATTAATTAATATAATTATAATATTTGACATAAGTTATTGGTAATAACGTATAACTAATTAGTAATTATTCATTTCAGTTATTTGCTTACCTATTACTGGATCTTTGATGTGATTAAAGCCCATATTCCATACAGAATGTTTTGGTCGACCTCCAACTGACATAATGTTGTAATTTTAAATTAAAATGCAATATTTAAAATTTTAATAGTTAAACATAATTTCTCAATAGAGTAAATAGCAAATAGAACCTAAATGCTAAATAAAAATTATAAATGATAATTCAAAATGATAACTGATAAGCAATTAAATAATTGATTTATTGAAATTAACAGTGTGACCAGTGATCACAACAAAATTATATTTTATAATTATAATAATTGGATTATATAGTATTATACACCGATGAAGTATAAAATATCGGTACATTATACATATAATACATAGTATAATACGTAAATTATACATTCATGTATAATACGTGCCAACCCAGGTAATATGATTAGAAAAAAAAATAATTTGTAAAATATTTTAGTATTTTTAGGTTTTAAAATTTGATAAAAAAAAATGCCCCGTCTAGTTTCTCTTTAATTAGAAAGTTGTTTTTTTTCGGTAAATATGAGGAGATGAATTGTTATTTTTACACGAATATGATACAAATCGAGTTCATCGAAAGGTTTTTGTACGCATTAAAATGGAGCAGATATAGTTTTTATGTAATTTATAGATGTGCGTGTAGTTGGCCCCGCTAAATCAAGCTAGCGACTCCAAACCTTCACAGATATTTTGCAATTAATTTGCTTTCATTTGCTATGTAGTTTTCAGAATTTGCATACCCGCGGTTTTTCCAGAAATTCATATTTTCCATTCGGGGGGCCAACTTCACGGCCCCCCAATTTTAAGCTAGCGACTCCAAACCTTCACAGGAATTTTGCATTTAATTTGCTATGTAAATTTCAAAATTTTCATATCCGCGGTTTTTCCAAGAAAACATTTTTGACTTGGTATACATAAACTACGCCTGTATAACTTCAATAGATGTTGAAAATTTAAAAAAAGTTTTAGTGGCTTAGTGTAATAAATTTAGAGATATGAAGAAAATGTAATATTTAAATATGAGTGTTAATATTTACCTAAATATATATATTTTAGATTCATAGAATATTTCCCGTTATAAGATGCTGAGAATATTCGGGTATTCAATATAACAATAATTTATTTATTACAATAAATTTTATTTATATCTATATTCATAACATATCAGAATCAGTGCTGCAATAACCGTACATATTGCGTGTATTAAACACACGAGCTCATAGCTCCAGCCTATAATAGGACCCAATGATAATATTTGAAAAATATCTAAAAAGAAGGAAATAAAACCATTTTGTCATAATAATTATTCTTGGAGATTAAACAATAATTGATTGATTTTGTTTTTTACACATTATTGTACATCAACGTTTCTATGATGGTTTGTATAATCAAAATTCAAAATAATTTGGTTATAATTGATTAAATCAGTGGTTATCAAACTGTGCTCCGTGGAGCCCTAGGGCTCCACGAAAGAAATTTAGAGGCATATCTAAATTAATTAAATTTAAAAATTATTATATTTCTTAATTATCAAGTAAAAACACTTATATGATTACAATTTTACATATACCTTCTCATCCGATCAGAGTGTTTTAGATTAATTTGAAGAGTACTAGGTTTTTAAGTCTCAGAGCACTCTTTCTAGTCAAAATTGTGTACACAAATTAAATCAATCCTTTTGCAATTCAAGTATATTCCACTTTTAATCAGAATTTGAAAATATTATACAGAAAAGTGATTGAACACACTCCATAATTTTATAACACACTGTGTATATATATAATATATTAAAATTCATTCTGAAAGACTAAAAAATGTTTTTATTAAGATTGAATTTAAAAAGTTTTGAAGAAAACAACATCATTATTTTCAAATAATTTTTATTATGCCCCTCCCCCATTTTCAAAAAGTTTTAATATTAAAATTAATTTAAATATCATTTCTGATTCCTTCTTTCTATATTTTTTCCATTAAATTTAAAATAAACTTAGTTTTGCCAAAAAAGCCAATAATTCTTTTCAACTATAGTAATACTTTATGATAGAATTCCTAGTTGCTTTTAACTTCGTTTCAGAATTAAATCATACAAAATCTTTAAAAATCATCCTAT